CTTTCGCTGAATGGCAAAACGAAATCCCCTTGAAAATATGGAGCCACGAATATAAATATTCTCAGCTAGTTTCGCCTTTGGAACATTTGTTCTATTCAGGGCCGGGCAGCAATAAAACATCAGGGTGAAAAACGTTGTGTGGCCAGCTGGGCAGAGAAGCAATATCCAACAGGAAGGTTTTAGGAAAGCTTTTAAATATTTGCAACTTCTGGGGGAGCGGGTGGCATGGGGCTATAACCCTCCCAGAGAGTTCTTTAATAGAGAGAAGTATGGAGCTCGCTGCATCCATACACCGCGTGTTCACATGCCAGGGTGAGTAGGACTCTGGAGTTATTAGATATAACTCTGGGGCGATTGTGTCTGTGCGGATCTAGAATGTTACATTCGATTCTGAACTTATTTTTTTGAGGGGGGAAAAAAATACTGTTCCAGTGGAAGGTCACAGTGGTCCTTTGAGTATGAAACTGAGAGACCCCCTTCCCCCCTTCCAGATCACGTGATTCATTAAATAATTAATGCAGCGGTTGCAGAATAGATATGTATTCGTCAGGAAAATCGCAGACATGGTCTCCTTGTGTCTGACGTGAAATTCAACTGTCCTTTAAAAAACAAGCCTATAGCCGAGGAAAAAAAGAGAGAGAGAAAGAGAGAGAGAAAGAGGGAGGGAGGGAGGGAGAGAGAGAGGGAGAGAGAGAGAGAGAAGTCTGCAATAAAACAATTCTCAGGAAGCAAGAAGCCACGCCGAGGGCTGGATTATTGTAAGTAGCGGGGGCTTCCCAATTCCTAGCGTGTCTATATGTCCATGTAAATTTATTGTTTGTTATTAATGTTATTGTCGTAAAATGTGACAAATAGCCGTCTTCATTTCCTCCCATTTCTCTTCACATGGTGGTATGTGTGTTTATACCCATCGAGGCATTTCATTGATATTTTTAGGAATATTCCTCTCGCTCTCTCGCTCTCCTCACAACCTCTTTTTTCCCCCTTTCTTGATTTATTACAATAAGCATGTCAGCAGCACTGCGGCTGCCATTGTGTGTGTGTTTGTGAGAGAGTTGTGTTGTTTATGGCGGTGTCCAAGATAAATCATTTCTCAAGTGAAAATGATGTGGAAGCGATGATATTTTAGAGCGGGGATCGTTCTCTCTACTCCACTCCCTGGAGTTGATTATTTCAGACGATTTACAGTAATAGATCAGCAGCTAATATGAAGGCTCTATAGCTGGGGGTCTTAAATTACAGCATCTGTGATTACCAATTAAGGAGAGATTTGTATAAATTTGGTAAACCGGGAACGCCTCATTGGCATATAAACCTAGTAAAAGACCACGACCTTAATATAAAAATTACAGCTAGGAGTTTTGTATCTCAGCATCCCTTAACCAGCCATAACTCATTTTTCACCGATTCTCCCTACCCCTGCTCACAAGAACGAGAATGCCTCATTGGAATAACAGCACAGGTTGATGGCTTTTCTTTTAAAAGACAGTGCTTGGTTGAGCCCCGTTGTAAACCGACTGAACAGAAAATCAAATAACTAACCACATTTCAGATTCAAAATTAAATTGTTGTGAGAGTGCAAAAATTTACTGTTTGCCTCTTAAGTAGGGACAATACTTGATCACAGAAGAGGATGAAGTTACTTTGCCAATGGAGGGCTGAACAATAGGTGAGGCTGCCTGTGTTCCCAAAGTCCAGTAGGTAGATTCAGGTCCTGGAACAATGGTCTGGGCATTCTTCAGCAGTCTGATCGTTTCGAGCCTGTGTCCCCATCAAAGCCTGATCATAAAAAAAGAAATTAATTAGTCCGAATCTTATTTTGTTAGGATTTTTGTATAAAGGGGAAAACTTTAAGTTAAAATGACCTGCCTTTGCTATGGCTGGTAGGTAGGTAGATAGGTAGGTAGGTAGGGAGGTAGGTAAGTAAGTAGATAGATAGATAGATAGATAGATAGATAGATAGATAGATAGATAGATAGATGTTTCTCTGATTAAAGTTTGAGAAGTTTAGGTAACAAAGCATGGTGTAAGGGCCTGCTAGCATTTACATGGAAGCAAATCAGGAGGCTCCTGAAAATCAGTGGAGTTACACTGATGTACAGCTGATGTAACTGAGAGCAGAACTTGGCCCTCTGGTCTCAAGAAACTAAGAGAGCCTTGAGAGCTGTGGGCTCTTGCAGAAGCTCGACTGTGGAAAGTAGAGGGGAAAGCTAGTCGGGAAAGCCCTTCCAGCCCATGAAGGGAAGGCAGGAAAACTTCAACGCTGGAGGCTTAGAGTCATCTCTTCAAGAGCAGCCTTGATGGCCAAGGGTAGACATGTACCTGTTCCAAACGCATGCGGGCACAGGGGGAGAAAATGCCCCCTTGGCAGCTCCTGAAAGAGCAGGACTCAGCTCCTCCTGAATTTCCTTCATAAAACTTGCCCAAGTCGGTGGGGCGCTGAAAGGAAGGGAGGAAGTGGGAGATGTCACTTTTAAACATTTTTACAAGCCAAAACACGCGAGGAGTCAATAAAACTGACAACAGGCGCGGAGATTAAATGGTCGCGCCGGATTCTCCCGTGTGAATCCTCCGCACTTCTTCACTTCCTCTCCCTTCTCGCCCTCCCGGCTCACCCCAGCCGGGGACGCAGCTATTTAACGCTGTCGGCTAGTGTAAACCTTTATGTAGCAAAACGTGCTCAGCTCGGTGACTTTCATTAAATATTAAGGGAGATCCAGGGACGGCAAAGAAGCCAGAAATGCAGCATCCTTCTCTGTCAAGCTCTTATGCCTTCAGATCCTTGGCTTCACAGTGATGTTGCCCACTTATTTTTTCAGGGAGGAGGGGAACGAGTGGGTCTAACTCAATAGCCAGCGTCTTTGGACGCGGTTCCCGACGCCTTTGTGTGAATGCCTGCCTTAAAGAAGTCAGATGTCAGCGGTAACGAGAGCCCGCTGAATAGCTCCATGTGGCAAACATTTTTTTTTTTTTGCCTCTTGGCTGACGATGAGTCGCCTTTTCTCCTCACTTCCCCCTCCAAAGCCATTAGAGACGTCCCAATACTTTATGTATATAGGCACACACACATGCACACCTTCCCTGAAGCCTTTGGGTTTCATGTGGGGCGAGGATGGTTGGGAGCCCCCTTTTCAGGTGACACTTCGTTTTGTCTCTCCACTTGGTTCCTCTAGAGAAAGAGACACCAGGTTGTGACGGATGGGATGCAGAGATTGGCTTGGGGATCAAGCCCAGCAGCGGGATCTAAACTGGTGAGGAAGGAGCCAGGGTGGGAGATTGGTTTAGATCTCGATGACTTCTCAGCATCAAGTCCAAGGCTTGATGCTGAGAAATCCCCCCCTCCCCAGCCCCTGCTTCTCGGCTTCCACTGGAAGTTGCAGCTATTGAAACACTTCGATACATCCCCTACCTGTAACCTCCGGCAATAGGGTCTGGGTTTTGGGGTGGGGGGGGGTTGCCCCCTGTTCTCTGCGATGTTAGCGAATATTTAACCTCGGATGACGTAACACAAGGAAAAGGGGTTGTTTCGCTCAGATTTGGGCAGCCCGCGGCTTTCTCATTGTTTCCTTTAGTTGAGACCGCGAGGGGCTGGGACATCCTTTCCCCTGCAGACAATAGCACCCATCTCCCCAGCCTTGCTCGTGGTAACTTCCCAAGATCCCTGCTCCCTGGCCCATTATGGCTACAACAGCACTCCAGCCCTACCAACGACCACGTATTTCCCCATTTGCCTTCATGAACTGGTTATTTATCGATCAGGTAATATAATAACTTTGCAGCCTGAGTTCTTTCGCACCAACTAAAAATAATGTGCAAATCGTTATTATTATTATTAGGTTTTCCCTGGATGTATCTCTTTATCAATTGGCTCAAAAGGGAACAAGTCAGGTACTAGAGGGCTGGAAGATTGTGCCTTGTGTTATGGTCATAAATGATCTGAATAATATTCAAAATATTTGATGAGATATTGATCTCTTTGCTTAAGAAAACCTAGCTCTGGCCACTATTGTTTTATTAATTCCTTTGCAATAAGCCTTTCCTTCTTGTCTCTCACATTTCCAGAAGTTTTTGATCTATCAGCCTTAAGAATCAGTGTTTATCCCACACAGTTTGCAAAGAATGCCCCTTCCTTTCTCCCTCTCCCCCTCTCGCGCAAACGCATATGCCATATCTTTCCCAAAGAGGAAGCTATTAAGGTAGTAAATATAAGTCAACATCACCTTAGTTCATAATTTATTGCAGGCTGTGAGAGAGAGTTATTTAAGATCAAAGAAATATAGTAGGGGAGACCCTTTGGAGTTGCAAGGCGAGGAGACCAGCAGCAGCGCCAGGCGATGCTGGAAGACAATGCACAAACCTGTAGATCTGAACACGCGGGCTCAGTAGGAGAGCAAGTAATTCTGGTGACCGCTCAGCTAGGAGAAATGCCCAGGCAGTGCTCACCCCTGCCGACCCTTAGCTGATTAAAACAGGTACCAGGAAGAGATACTGCCTTTATTCCGACGAATAATACACACGCGTATACATGTATGCATACATATGTATTTATACACACACGCACGCACACACCTATGTATATATATTTTAAAGGGACCGAAATTATAACTTCATTAGAAATACATGGCCGTAGTTTGGGAAAGGAATTCACGTTTGCACAGAAAAACGGCATTACATTGATTCCGTTATTTTAACAAATCTCAGCAGGCGAAAACACAGGCAGAATAAATTCACGCCCCAAACAAATCACTGCTATAGAGGCCTCCAGGACTGCAAAGAACTGTAGCGGGAGCTGAGGCAGAACTACTGCTGCAGAAAGAAAGGAGCTTCCCCCCACCTTTTTTTTCCAGCCAGGACAAAAGGAAAGGAGTGCTTGTTGCTTTTCTGTGAAATAGGCCAAAGTTGGAAAGAATGACGTCTCCTTTGAAGTTTATTTGCTGGGGGGAGGGGAGACGGGTGTAAAACCACATTTCAACACTCGATTGCCACTGACCAAATCAGAAGCTATTTCAGAAAAGCAAAGCCATAAATCAGAAGCGATGTTCAGGTTGGGTTGTTCTTCTCCCACCCCCCCAAGATAGCTGTAAAGGGGAAGGGGTGGGGGGAGGATTCTCACTCCATAATATTTAATCTTTCTTTTTTTAAGTTAAATTCAAACAAAAATCTGCCTGAGTGCTATGAGCAAAGGCGCTGCGAGGTCAGAGAGAACATTAAGTGCTTAGGGGCAGGTTTCTCCACATTTCCACCATGGCATCTTTGGGGGTGTCCAGCGTCCCCCTTTAAGCCCCGAGGGAGGTGGTGGAAGGTGAAATAGCCGGAGGTCTGTTCTCTGGTGAAAATCAACCCGGCTCCTTTGCCCTCCTTCATCCCCGCAACACGTCCACATTCAGTGCTACCCAACAGCAGCCGCACCACCTATGGCAGTCAATGGCAATCTCCCCCAAAACAATTCTCCCATTCACCCCGCATTCAGGAGAGTTTCCCCTATTTTTTCTGCCGACCCACGTTCTGGCAAACTTCACCCCTTTCCTCATCACCATACATAAGCCCTGTTTGCAACTTCAGGGAAACTCCATTCACTGCATGCTAAATGCAGCCTTGTGTCTGGGGCTGCTGCAACTTTTCCACCTCTTACCTCTGTGATTAGACACAAAAGTCAGCCATGTTAATTGCAATATACATATATTTGATAGGATCACATCTAAGCACCCAAAAGAAAAAAAAAAGAAAAGAAAAGAAAAAAAGGCAGAAAGAAAGGAATCCGCTAGGTTTTGCTTAACTTTGATTTTTTTTTGGACGAGACATATGGAATCAATTTTGAATCCTGACATTGAAGACTGGCCAGTTCCTAGTGGCCTTTAAAAACCAGAATCCATTTGGTTCCTCTCTCTCTCCACCACCGCTTGTCACTCAGTATTAGACCCGTCTTGCAACATTTTAAGTCTTTATAAAGAGAAACAGCTTTCCATATAGATACCAGGGATGTGGGACCGGGGTGGGGGGTGTATTTTTTTTTCAAAGGGGAAATCAAGTACGTATTCTTTCCCCCCCCCCACCCCGTTTCCCAGTATCTCTGCGCTTTCTGGAAAGGGGGCTGTATTCTTGCAACACTTAAAGCTGTTTAGGAAGAAGGGTCTCTATTTTTCTTCACGTCAAGACAGTTCCGTTGGAATCCAGTGAGTCCAAAAATCAAAGCATCTTTGGGGGGGGAAAAAGTCCGTCCGACAAAGCTGTCATCAAGATCCACCGAGGTACAATAAAGTAGTTTCTTTTCTTCTCCTTAATTTCCTCGCTTCGGTTCAGCTCTTGCAGCGTCCGATCCGCCTCCGCTTCTTTCTTCCTGAAGTCCTTGGGAACTAAAACAGGTAAGAGGTAAAAAAAAAAAAAAAAAAAAAAAAAAAAAAAAAATCCAAATTATTCCTGATAAATTATTCACCCAGATTAATTGCCCCCATCGCTTTTGACAGGCTCGGGACTTCTCCATTGGTCAGCAGGAACTGGAGCTGACTTTCCCTAGTAACAAATTAAGACTGATGTCTCCGAAAATTTAGCCAGGGAAGTGGAAGATGAGCAAAAATTATCTCGCCCTGTTCCTACCCAGACGGGATCCGGGAGTTCCCTTTCAAGTCCGTGTGGAGTTCAGCGACTTTTCCCTGAGCCACATTTGTTAAAGGTTTAGCACCTCTCGCCTGCTTGAAGCAGAAACTCCAAAGGCTGCCTTGGAAAAGCAGGGTGCTAAACTGGAGAATGTATGTGATTGTGATTTATGGCCCCGAGAAGCTGTGTTTACTTGAAGCAGATCCTAATTACAAACCTTTTCCGAGGAGCCCCCGCTCCTAAAAAATTCCCAAGCCCTGTATGTCTGTCCCCTCCCTCCCTCCCCAGCACGGCTTGTATTGGCCAGATGTGACTCACACACATCTGGTTATTTACTCGGTGCTTTCGCTGGCTAATTTATTGTTCTGGGATGGGTAAGAATGAGATTCTTTAACATTTTGCCTAATGTTCAGGGTTTATTCAGAATTCCGCTTCTTAGCATCTTTTCAGACGGGGACCACGGGCTCAGATGACTCTGGGGTTCTTAAGGAGGGTGCAGCCAGGCTTATGTATTTGTTTAAATGTAATTTCTGAAATGACCTTTACTTTAAAGGGTGTGTGTGTGTGGGGGGGGCGTGATTACCCTTGTTGGGGTTCCCAGTGGATAGGGGACCTGCATTTGGGGGCTAGGGAGTAAAAAGCTTTAGTGCCTCTTTTATTCAGCAGAGTTTAAGAGCATAAAGTTGATACGGGAGGCGAGAAAGCCTGTTATAATTACACCTGAACGTGATTTAAAAGAATAGATGTGCACCCTGTTCAGTGTGGCCGCTTTTTGTTTGAATCCTTGTTTAGTTGGATAATAACTTAGCTCCTGGGACAATTTGCCCCCTACACTGTATAAAAAATATAGAGAGATATATAAGGGAAAACTTTGGAGTCAGTGTCTAATATTTCCCGAGGCATACTCGTAGATATTGGCAGCGGACGAGAGCTGTGCTCCACCAGCTTCTGTTTTTTTGCTGAAAATTGCTTTGCATTAAATTTCCTCGGCTTCAGAATTATCTTTACTCGCCTCCAGCTAAACTTGAATTTTTTTACCCAGCGCTTGATCTGTCGGCGAATGAAATCTGAGAGGAAACCGCAAGGCCCTGAGTGACCGTAATTTAATTGATTTTATCATAAATCATCAACTTCATGAAGAACCAAAGTTTTCATTGAAGTAAATTGATATTAATGGAGGCGTGTTTTTTTTTAAATTTACCAATATATATTTATATATGTTGTTAGTGCTCCTTCCTTTCTTCTTTCCTGCGTTCCTTCAAGTCCTAAAGTCTTTCTAGATGTAATTCCTTCACACCTCCTAAGGCAGACTCATTACAGTCTTTTAGGACTTTGTTTCTGGGTGCTTTCTAAAGGGATCACTTCTAGAACTAGGGTAGTCTGGGTAATTTTTAATCTCTGAAAAGCCACCCTTAGCGTTTTTGATGAGCCACCAGAAGAAAAGTGAGTTTCTTTAGAGATGTCTCCTGAAGTAGGGTTTTCCCTGGACATCATGTGTGTGTGGGTGTGCTCCGGTGTGTGTGTGTGCCCCTCTGTGCGTGTGTGCGGCTCGGTGTGTGTGTGCGTGCCTTGTGTGTAGCTACGTGCTGCAGCCCAACGTTGCAGCGGTGAGAGGGACAGATTTAGAAATCCTGGTTCTCATTTCACCCCCGTGCGAGCCTTACTTAAAGCAGGTCTAAAAATAGACATATGATCTACAGCTCCCACTTCCATCTACCTTATCCGCTACAATGAGAGCATTGAGGCTCGGTTAAACATTGCCACTCCGAGCTCTTTCTCCTCTCATTAAAAATTAACTAAGAGCGGGTTATGGATCTCAGCCGTTTGATATGCTGATGAGCGTGGGAGATCAAATACCTTTACAGTAGGGCCCCGGTTTAGCCAGGGCAGCGGTCCGTGCAGAGTGGGACACGGGACTGGATGTTGCGCAGGGAGAAGGACCAAACGCAAAGATAGTCCCGGTGCCTCTCGACAGCCTATGAAGTCCACAGCTGAGATCACCCAGCCCTGGGGAGCCCAGCTCACCTCTCCGCCCACCCTCACCCTACACCCAGTTTAGTGCAGGTAACACGGAGCCCCCAGCCCTTGCCCCCGCCCCGTCTGCTTTTTCCAAGCTAGTTTCTTCCTTCTCGACCCCAAGGGGACCTTGATGGTATCCAGGAGGGGGAGAGAAGTATCAGCCCCTCTCCCTCCCCCGCTCCCCTCGCAGATTATTTCGGAACCTGGTTAGCCCATGAGCAAGAGCAGAAGGCAGAGCCCCGTCCAAAGCAACACGCGCCCTCCTTGCAGGGGCCCAGGCGGCTGCCATAGGGCTCAGCTTGTAAATCCACTCGGTTACAGGCCGGCGCGTGGGTGTGAACGGCCCTCCGCCCCCTCGGCCGGCTGGAGCTGGGCAGCAGGTTATCAGGGGCTGGTTCAGAGGAGCGGCTCCCAGAGGCTGCGGCGGCTCCGAGCAGGGAGCCAGCAGAGAAGTCTTCCCATCCTCACCAGCTCTTTTCTCCTCCTCTTCCACCGTCTGGGCTCGGAGCTGGGTCTCTGCGAGGCTAGGGCAGTGGCGATCGCGTGTCCAGTTTCTTTACCTCTTCTGCTCTGAGGATTTCAGACACACACACAACACGCACATATACACACATGCATGCACACGCACAACACACACATGCACACGCACATACATGCACGCGCGCGCACACGCGCACAAGACCAAAAAGAGCAAGAAAAGCTCGAGGGAAATAGCTCAGGAGATGGGGGAAAGCGACAGACTCTTGGTCACTCGCAAAGTTGAGGGCATTCAGTGCTGGGGAGGAGGGGAGGGCATGGTGTGGGGGGAGAAGTTCATTTAACAATTCTGGATAAAATGGGCACAAAAAAAAAAGGTTGACGTCCTCCAGTCACGTGAGAGCATCATTCACGCCATTCTTTTGGCATGGAGGGGGCATGGAGGCAGAGAGGGGATCTCTTGCCCTCTCCCAGCCCTTGTGACCATCCGCTTCTAAAATGACTATCTGCAGCTTTCTAGTACCGCTTCCCCCTCTAAAAATCAAGTAGTGAAGACTGACTTTTGGCGACCAGAGCTCTGATGGAAAAGGATATGCGTGTGTTGTGTGTATTGTTTGGTGGGGGGTAGGGGCTGAAAAAGCGCCAGGAATAGTAGGAGGCTGGGTGTTGTTGTTGTTTTATATTTTGGAGGCAATTCAAAAGTACTTCCGCTGATTGATCATTAATCTGGTGAGTTATTACTCTTCTAAGCAAAGGTCACCGGGAGAAAGAGGTCTAATCTGTCAAAGGAAGACACCGCGCACTCGGTTCCAGTTTGATTTCTTAGCCAGGTTGGGCTTCTGTTTGGAGCTTTTTTTTAATGAGTGTATATATATAGTGGGGTAGGGAGGAGAGAAGCAGGGAAACCTTTTCCCGAGCTCCATTAGCACCCCCCCCATTCCCACCCCCATACACACCCCGCTCCTCAAAATGGTCTGACTACCCTTCTCCTCCTGCTTAGGGGGGCTGGTTGGGCACCCCAGCAAGCATGTGGACACCCGATCTGTTCCAAAAGGCGGCCGAGAGGGAATAGCGACCAGCCTCTGGCAGGCTTTTATCTATATTTAAACGGGAAATGTGTCCATGAACCCCTAATATGGTGACTAATTTGAGAATACCCATAAGTCACCGCTAATCGCTTTTAATAATGATACATAATGCATGAGCCTATTGTTAGAAGTTGCGGGGGGGGGTCGCTTTGGGAGGAAGGAGGAGAGGAGGGGTCCTGCTCCTTCATTTGAATCATAATCACCCCCAAATCCAGGGTGCGTTGGGGGGCTCCCCTTTCTACTGGTTTCCCTGGAAAATCTCCTCGGAACCTCGCTATATTTTATTTCCGTTTTGCTTCCATCTCTCTCTGCCTCGTGTAATTCACTCCCAAGAACTGCTACTTTCCGCCTATCTCCACCTCCTTTTGTTCAGCCCCCTCTTTTTTTCCCCCAAGACCAAATGGGGGTGGAACTTTTATAGAGACATATTTCGTTTGCTGGGTTCATACCACATAAAGGGTTGGCTTTAAAAAAAAATCCTTATTTATAATCTACAGAGGGGAATTAAATACCCAAGCTACTCGGGTAAGGCTGTGATGTAAGTGGAATATTGCCAATGTTGTGTATTAAGTGTGTGCGCGTATAATAATAATGATAATAATAAAAAAATTATAGCTATGGGCCTCAGACGAGAGAGAGGGGTCAGGGAAGACTCAGTATGTGATTTATGTTCAGGGATTGTTGTCACAAGCAGAGTAGGGGTGTGAGGGGAACATTTTTATTCGAGATTAATAACATCAACATCCAGAACGGAAACAAGATTATTAAAGCGACGGAATGTTTCCCAAAACGAAAATATTTTTAAATGAGATTTCCCCCCTCTTTCTTTCTTTCTGAACCAAATCGTGCCAAAGTTTCCTGGATAAATCTCTATGTAGCTTTCAAAATGTTTGTGCTGGTATCCTTTAATTCTTTTGATACAATAACCTTTGTGTGTGACTGTTGCCTACCTATCGTATAAGACTTTTTTTTTTTTAAGTGAGGATCATTCCATATTGGTGGCATATTGGATAAAGGGGGAAAGCTGTGCTGTGAATACTTGAGATTTCGTTGCTTTCCATTAAAAATCGCCTGGCAATTTCCCTACTGCTTTATTCTTGCCCTATCTAGAACTAATTAACTGGATACCCTTCCTTTTTAAAATGCATGTAACACAGGAATGGCCAACTGAGTATAACCAAGCTAACAAAAGAGGTAATAACTGGGTCGCAAAACGGCTCGTGATCATTTTTTTAAAATTCATACCAGAATTCACCAACCCCAAAACAGTTTACATTTCAAAGCAGACAATTTCTATTCATAACGATTCCAGCTCCCGCCTTGAAAAAACACCATTGATCAATGATTTCCTCCAACATCGGCTTCCCCTGAAGAAGCTGCAACGAAATGTGTATACACGTGTATTAAATTGAAACGACAAAACTTGCTAACATAACCTCAGCTCCCCTCTTTAATGGTAGCTCTGATCCTGCATACATACATACATGCGTGTGTGTGTGTCTGTGTGTATATATGTGTGCGTGTGCAGATATATGTACACACACATGTCATAGCTGTATCATATGGAACAGATAGATAGATAGATATCTATATCTATATCTATAGAGAGAGAGCTATCTATATATATGTATATATATATATATTTATATATATTACAACTTTCTGAAAGTATGAATATCTCTGCTAAAAGCTTGCCTGGGCTACCTGGGTGAGATCTCATCTCAGCTACAGTGAATGACTTAGTTTGGGTACATAAAAAGGGATTTTGTTCCATGTCCAGGCAAGGAGTTCTCTGCCTAGGCAGTTTGATTGTCCACTCTGCTGAGACCAAAGTTTCTCCATTTTATTTTATTTTATTTTTTTGCAGTTCCCTTTCTTTCTCAGACTCCTCCTCTGCCTCACATCTGCTGGACCAGACAACTGAGAATTGGTGAGTTGCATTAAATATCCTACTTGGTCATTAAAATATATAGATATTTAAACTAAGAACCTGCCAACTCTTCAAGACACTCCATCGTACGTTTCCATCAATCTTAGAAAGAAGAATATGGCCCTTACTTTTCAGCTAGGTGTTATCGCTTTTGTTGCTGGCCTTTCATAAAACTTTGCAGTTTCTCCTTAGAAGTTTGGGTGGGCACCTTAAGTGGAAAATATTTCCTGCCTTCCCTTGAAAGGGAAATCGAGAATAATCAGGACTGCAAAATGTGATGCAGACCTTGCGGTGAATCTAACAGAGCTACTTTTAAAAGCAAAGCAACCTGTCTTCCAAAGCCTGGTCGGAAACGCAATATGGACCCAAATAACCCCTTACAGGAAATTCAATTTAGAGAAATGTATTCATCTTCTCTGTTATGGTGGGTTCCCCGCCCTACAATAACCCAAAGTTTGTACTGCAGAAGAGTTATTTTCAGAATCCGTGGCACTGCTGACATTCCAGATACTCGATCATAAGCCACGGAGGTCTGTGAGGACTCTAATGAGTAGTTTTATTTATAGGGGTCTTTAAAAAAAATAATAGTAGTCCAGGTCTTGTATTCTCCACGGCCATTCTGCAGCGCTGGTGTTCCTAAATAGGAAGTGTCTTGTAGCTGAAGATGTATGTTGTAGTGATGTATAAGAAGTCGGCTGGGAGGGGGACACACACCATATCACAGTGGAGAGCGAGCTGATCACTCCGTGCCGGCGTGGAAACCTCACCCGGGAAGTCCCAACAATAGGTGGAAACACTGTATCCCTTTGGGCAGACGACTGCCAGCACCTTGAGAGTTGCCCGTAGCCCCCGAGGCGAAACCCAGTCTTGACTGAAATGCTCCTTTGTGGAGGGCCTGCTCCTCCAAAAGTCCCCCAAAGTCCTGCAAAGCTCCAGCGCCGGACACACCTTCCCAGCGAGGTCCGACCAGTCTTTGTGCTTGCGCCTTTCCTTTGCTTGCTAAATATAAGTTCCTCAGTCAGCACTTCGCCCACTTGGCCAGCATTAAAAAAAAAAAAAAAGGTGGGGGGGTCATTTCAAACTGGAACAATGGTAGTACTTCCAAAAAAAAGAGAGAGAGAGAGAGAAATGTGCAGACACCTAAATTCTTTGCCCGCTTCTTCCTCCCACTCCTTTCGAGGCTTCTGCTTCTGAACCTCCAGGAAAATGCATCTTGGAAAGTTTCTGTTTACAGCAGCAGTGTGAGCGCTCGAGGAGTCATAAATCTTGTGGGGCGACAGCAGCAGCGCCTTGCATAATAATAATAATATTAATAAAAAGCCTGATTGTCCAACACCTCCTTGACTTTGCCTTTCCTAAGTGATTTCACTCCCTTCCTTCCCCCCCCCCTTTAGAAGTGCAAATGCCATACACACAGCCCCAACACCACCACCCTACAGTAGATGGGGGGTGGGGAGGGAGTTGCAACCAGCCATAGCACTTTGACACACAAACTTCATATTAAAGTAACCCAAGGCTGCAGGCTTGGAGTTGCATCAACACAAGAAATTTTTGCCATCACCTTGTCCCCTTCCCCCACCACCCCACCCCTACAGCTCTCCATTCCCTATTTAAAATATATATATGGAATCGACCCCTCTCTGCCCGGCTTATCAGACCCCCACCCCCACCCCCTCAAAAAAGTATATTTGGGATTTGCTTCACATTAGAGACAGGAGACAAATGCAGCTGGAGGGAGGAGGAGGAAGAAAAAAAGATGCATTAGTTATTGAAAGGACCATGATTCCAACTGTTAAGGGGGGGCAGAGTATGACTATGTTGAAACGGTTTATTAGCATAAATTGACACCTAATTGTTAAACACGTGAATCAAAGGAAAGCTTTGCTATCTTTCTGCCTAGGCCTCTGTCCACCACGTCTGCAATTAGCATAATTTTTCACTAGTGACGCTGTTTGGAAGGCTCGTTGGCTTTGCCCAGCACTCCAAAGCAAACCTTTATTTATTTTTTTTAAATATCACCACTAGCTTTATTTCCACCACCGCCACCCGGGTCTCCTCGAGGCTTGTTGTGATTATTTTCATCCCAGCCCAGCATTGCCTAGTTAAGGGGTTTGTGTTCAGCTTTTCTTTCTTTTTTTTTTCTCTCCCTCTCCTTCCCTTCTTCCCCTTTGCTGTGCTAAGGCAGAGGCCATTGTTATCAGTGAGAAGGGCGTACCAGCCTACAGGGCAACTAGAATCTCAGGGTTTGTCCATTCAAAGCCCTGAGCTTTTCCTACAATCTTGGAGGCTGAAAAGCATCTTGCTTTTTTTTTTTTCTTCCTTCCCAAACGGAGAGAGGGAGAGAGAATTTGAGCAGCCGTAACGGAAAGCTCCACTGGCATAAATCCCCCTGTTTGGGATTTTTTTTCCTCCTTTTTTTGTAACTGGATTTCTCTTTTTTCCATCTATCTATCTATCTATTCCTTTAACATTTTTTAAAGGAAGGGAGTTATTCCGTGCTTATTGATTGCGTTGATGCTGGATGTGAAAATATATTATGTCTGCCTGTGCTTTGCTCGTCAGAGGCTAAGGTAAGCGAGACTCAAATAGGCTATCACTTTGTGAATGGCGGAGTATATGTCCCAATGATTTATGACCATATGACTCCAATCTCGGTTCAAGAAGAGTTCACAAGCTTTAAGCTTCCTTCCACGCAGCGACTCTTTTGCAGCCCTCATGGAGGGGCCTTTTCGCCCCTTGCTTTTCAACTGGGGGGTTCTGCTTGGGGGTGAAGATTGGTGGGGGGGAGAGGGAGATTTTAGGAATGTGTCTCTATTTTCCTGGCATATTCACCGCCAGGCAGTGGCTGAGATTTGAGGTGTTTCTGAGCACCAGCCTATTGTGAAGGGAAGCGTTGAGAGCTATTCTTCTTCTTCTTTCCTCCCCCCCCCCTTTCATTTTTAATACTTAAACCGGGTCTTATTCCTCCTTTGGCTCTGGCTGTGAGATCTACCTTAGGCGGGGGAGGGGAGGGAAGTGCTGCTCTTCTTCATAAACAGAGTCAGGTTGTGAATTTAGGATTTCCAACATGGAGGGATCTCTTTAAATCTGCCTTAAATTTCTTTTCTTTTCTTTTTCCTTTTTTTTTTCGCAACCCCCTGGTTTTTCCACGGACCCTGTCCCTGGATCCCGTCCCCTCCTCCTCTCCCTTCTGGAGATTTCCTCATATATATATATTTTTTATTTTTATTTATTCCAATCGCCTCTGAATCCGAGCAGTAAAAGTTCCCAGGCGCAGAGTTCTGCCTTTAATGTTGTTATCCTTCAAAAAGTGAAACTTCCAGCCTCGGGAAAGCTCCCGGCGCGGATCCTGCTCCGGTTAATTGGAACACGATATAATCTAATATTTATTATTCTGGCTGAGGTTTTTTTTAAACAATTCCTTGGAGTAAATAATTAGGATTCCGCCCGTCTTCGGCGAAGATAAATGACCGGCATTTGTGACGCGTTGAGAGATGAGATACAAAAGCGAACCTCTTCGGTGGAAGCCACAAGGCAGTAGGCTTCGCTTTGGGACGAAAGGGGCCAGTAAATTTATTTTATGAACTTTGTTTTAAAATCATCGCTGTTATTTTTAGCTGCTTTTCATAAAGACTCTCAGGGTCCTGATTTTTTTTTTAAAGGAAACCAATGCCAGATAAGAAGGCCTCAAAGAGGTCCCTACCTCTCTGCTCTCCTACTCAATTTAAGCAAACCTATTCATAATACAGACACTGCTGTTTGCTAATTAATTCACGGCTCTTCGGCTCGGGTCGTGGATGATCCTTTTTATTAAAATATATTCCACGCGGATAAAATAAAAACCAAGGTCTCCCACCAATAATTCTCGGGGAAAATGATTGCAACCTTTACGTGATGGAAAACAAAAAAAGAATCATAGGAGATCTCTGCCGAAGATACCGACGTTTGGGAATATATAAAGGGTAGAAGCTAAATCAAACCTGTGTGTGTGTACATTAGCTGTGGCTGGAAGTGTATGGGGGGTTAGTCTGCTATGTCACAAACACACATGAGTCAGGAAGACAAAATCGGTGGATCATTTATTGTCAGTCAGTGCCTTCTCTTCAACCTTTAATGCAGGGAAAGATGGCAATAGATTGTATTTGTCCCCAAACTCTCTAAGACCACTCCTGTTAAAATCAAATAGTCAAAGATACTTAAAAAAAACCCCAAACAAGACAAAACAAAACAAAAACCCCAAGCCCCATAGCAGGCTCATCAGAGAATTTACCGGCTTTTGAAAATATGTGTGTTGTTTGGTTGTCTTCACACATTAATTTATTTTCCGGTAAAGGAGACAGTGTCTGTTCTTTTTGCTTATTATTTTGGTCTTCTTCTTCTTGTGTGAAGAAAGTTCATGTTTGGATAGAGAAGAGATGGAAAAAATTAAGAACGGTGGTTTTCCGGGGGTTTTTTTAGAAGTACTGGGCTTGGATTGGAAAGAAAACCAAAACAGAAGAGGAGAAAAAATGAGGCAAAGTCAAAGGGATACAAGGCAAGACCAAATGGCCTGGTGACACATTTGTCTTGAAAAGAAAAACAACAACAACATCAATGAAACCGGTTTTGGAATCAAATCTTTTCAATCGCAGTCCCAGAGACAAGACTCCAATTGGGGGTGGGGGTGCGGGGCAGGAGGGGGCAAGTTTTCTCAATGCAACCTGTGCTGCAAACATGTAAATAGCAGGCCAAGGAAGAGGGGTGGGGGGTGGAGACCAGTTTGAATGTGCGCTCCCAGGACCTGCTTAAAGTGTTTGCACAGAAATCTAGAGACATTATGAGCCCCTGTGTAAACAGTAAAGCGAGCCAACTGTGTCAAGAGACAGTTACCTGGAGAAAACATATTGACTATTTGCTGTTCTCAATTTAAAAGGAAACATCCCGGGTAGCCAGAAGAACTTTACAGTGTCTGGGCCTCTAGATGGGAGATTCTAGCTGAATAACGTCCTCCTTTCTTTTTATTTTTGGGAACTATTGGTTGGAGCGTGATGGGGATGGGGAGGCAGGAGTCCCTGGTCCCGGCCTGTTTGCAGTCCTTCCCGGTGTATTCTTGCCCTCACGTGAATGAGTTAACATATGTCTGTGTGCATATATGCCTATGAATTCACGTGTGGAGCATGGAGCACGCTGATACCTACCCAGGGCAATGTTTGGAAGAAAAATGTATTAATAAAAAAAAAACCACAACTCACGAACACAACTTTTGTGCTGAAATATCTGAGTAGCCTTCTGAGTAGGCTAAAGCCAGGAGGAATCTCCCCCAAGCATCTGTTAGCTCTGTTCTGTAGGAACCTATTCATGTCATGTGCTTTTCACTACCTAAGATGGATTCATAGCCAGGCCACTATTATTGTGTGTTTCTTCTAACCTTTCAGGTCAGCTTCCAATAGACAACTGGAAACGGACTGTCACGTGACCTTGGGGTGCCAATGTTCTTCCATAGGGGTGTCAAGACCCTGGTAGTCAGTAAAAATATTTTTGGGGAAGCCCAGAGATGCAGAAAACAACATACTACGACAGCTCAACGCTCTTTGGGGGCTACACCTACCAGGGGGCCAATGGGTTTGGTTATGATGGTCCTCAACAGCCTTTCCAGCCTTCTTCTCACGTGGAGAATGACTACCAGAGGTCTGCTTGCTCCCTGCAGTCTCTTGGCAACGCTGCCCCTCATGCGAAAAGTAAAGACCTGAATGGAAGCTGCATGCGGCCAAGTTTGCCCCAGGAACATCACCAGCCTCCACCTGTCTCACCACCCCCAAACTCTGTCACCAACAGCAACAGTAGCAACAGCAATAACCAGTCCGGGAGCAGTAAAACTGCCCCCAGCAAATCAAGTCTCAGTGCAAATGCAAGTCTCACCAAACAGATTTTCCCCTGGATGAAAGAATCGAGGCAAAACTCCAAACAGAAAAACAGCTCCCCTAGCACAGGTATAACGTTCTGCTTGTGTCACCACCCATTGCCCTAGGCAGTGAGGTAGAGGACCTACCAGGCCACAGGCTCTTGTCCCAGGGTGGGATAAATAAAAGCCGAAAAGATTTCCACCGAGGTGTCAGGAGCCAGCCCCTTCCGCCTCTCCTTGGACAAACCTCCCAGTGCTTCCACTGGGCTCGTGGGCTGGGGAATGTGGATTTGGCCTCTGGTGAAGAGGTAGAGATGTGCACTTGAACTGTTCCTGGGACTGGAGTGAAATGCAACGATTAGACATGGATAAAGATGGCTGAAGTCTTGAAGGCCTGCAGAGGCTCATGAATGAACGCGTGTGCTTGTTACATCATATTTAGGCATACCCACGCAATTCCATAATATGTATGTATGTATGTATCTGCCTGCCTACCTACCTACCTAATCTGCTACACATTGATAGCTATGATGCCAACTACCTCTATCTGAACGTATGCAATTACGTAGCTAGGTAGGTAGATCATACTTCTAGCTAGGGAATTGCCCCACCAGTCTGCCATGTAGAATAGTCTCACACAGCTGCCCAGACATAGTTACATACAGACCTGCCTCTGTGTATTACAGGCATTGCTAATGCCACACGGGTGTTATATGGATGCCCTATAGAGCACTTACAGAGGTGTACGTGCAGTTCAGGGGCAAACAGAGGCGCGTAGCTACGTGTGTGGGTGAAACCACACTCCTACATGGCTCCCAGGCCTGTGTGTCTGTGTAACGAGCCTGCCCCTGCGACCAACACCGCCACCCTGGAGGCGCCGGGGTTGGCCTTCATTTATTATTCCGCTCCTGCCCCTCCTCCCCCCCCCTGCCAAATATTATTTTCTCCAAAATTATCTGTTGAAAATAATCGAATCCTCTGTAACTGGCCCTGGAATCCTTTTCTGCATGACATGATCAAATTTTCATAAACCAGGGGCAGCTTTGGAGAACAGAACTCTTAATAAATGACATGATTATAGAGTGCAGGCTAATGTGCAAGGGAGGGGGGGGGGAGGTCGAAGTCCTCGCGCCTGCTCCAGGATTTATTAAGAAGCGATGCATTCAATTTCTGCATGTAAGTAATTATCTTTTATTTCATTTCGGCCGGCAGAAAGCTGCAGCGGCGAGAAAAGCCCTCCGGGATCTTCCGCTTCCAAGCGAGCCCGCACGGCCTACACCAGCGCCCAGCTGGTGGAGCTGGAGAAGGAATTCCACTTCAACCGCTACCTGTGCAGGCCCCGCAGGGTGGAGATGGCCAACTTGCTCAACCTCAGCGAGAGGCAGATCAAGATCTGGTTCCAGAACCGGCGGATGAAATACAAAAAGGATCAGAAGTCCAAGGGCATGGGGTCCTCCTCCGGGGGGCCCTCCCCCACGGGCAGCCCCCCCCAGCCCATGCAGTCCTCCGCCGGGTTTCTGAATACCTTACACACCATGCCTAGTAACTACGACGCCCCATCTCCGCCTTCCTTCAATAAGCCCCACCAGAATGCCTATGCCATGTCGACTAACTACCAAAACCCCATCAAAGGGTGCCCCTCGCAACAGAAGTACGCCAACACGGCGCCCGAGTACGACCCGCACGTGTTACAGGGTAACGGGGGCAGCTATGGGACCCCCAGCATGCAGGGCAGCCCCGTGTACGTGGGGGGCAACTATGTGGATTCTATGCCCACCTCCGGCCCCTCCCTGTACGGCCTCAATCACCTGCCGCACCACCAGTCTGCCAGCATGGACTACAACGCAGCTCCGCAGATGCCCCCCAGCCAGCACCACGGACCGTGCGAGACCCACCCCACCTACACAGACCTTTCCACGCACCACTCCTCTTCTCAGGGCAGAATACAAGAGGCGCCGAAACTCACCCACCTGTGATGGGGGTGGGAGGGCAGAGCAGACTCGTGGAGCTCTGACCCGGGGGAGGAGGGGGGAGCGAACCCGCTGTGGGATCTGATTCAGAAACATTTGTGTTGAGCCCTTAAAGCGATCGGTTTGGTGGGGCTTTTGTTCCCGGTTTTCTTAGGCGCCGCGTCTTTGGGCGGGGGTGGGGGGGGTGATAACTCAGCCCTATTTATTTGCAAGCTACCGCCCGCGCTCTCCCCGGCTGTAGAGATAGAGATAGATGCATAGATCTCCTGATGCTTCAACACAAATGCTTTTGAACCCACGCGGGGCAGTTTCCTCGACATTTGAGGAGAGAGAGAGAAATATATATATACAAAGCACCCCAAAAAACAACAGCAAACACCACCACCAACAGCAGAAAGCGCGGAGAATTGCAAATAATCCTTGGACCTTGAAAATGACAAGACCCAGTGGGTTCAAGTTGTCGACTCACCAGATCTGTCCATCTGGCCCAGCGACAACAGAGATCCTTTTTCTCTTTTTGTTTCAAATCTAAACCGAGCCACAGAAAACTACCCCCCTCTCGATCCCCTCCCCGCAAAAAGTCTTGCTTTCTCCCTTCCAGTTTAACTCCTTAGATGAAGGGCATATTTCTTTTGGGGGTTTCCTTCGCTTTTTGGGTTTTTTTTTTTTTTTTTTGCTGAGTAACCTTCTCCCTCCCACCACCACCACCACCACGAGCTGAAAAATATCCACACCTGCCAACCCTGGAGGACCCACTGTCTCTTCTCTTCCTGCTCGCCCACCCCCAGCCCAAGAGGCTGAGTCGAGAAGGGTCTGGGACATCCATTCTTCATGCAAAGCTGCACCATTTTGTCTCTCTACAGGGAAAGTTGGCAGGTCTGAATATATATATTTTTTGCCCCCTCGCCTCTTGAGGCAGTGAAGTCGCCCTTCGATGGCACCGGGGCTTTGTTTTTGTTTTTAAGGGTTCACGAACAAACCAACAACAAAGCAATCTTAAGACTTGGAAGTCCTACATGTTGTTCCTCCTCTTCTCTTGACTTAACGTGAAAACAGGGTATATTTGAACAAACGGTATGTCCTCCAAACGAAGCAGAAGTGAATGGATCGCGAGTATTTGCTAATGCTTTCTTGTCTGGACATCTTCGTTGCACTTAGAGTTTACATTTGAATGGGTATAAAACAACTTTGAAGGCCGTCGCGTCCAACTCAGTCGTGACGTCTTTCAATAGGTGTGTGTTCTGGTGAACATTCATATATATTTATTGGTTATAGCCAGTTTAAAATATTTTCTTTTTTTGTATTATTTATCCCCAACATTATGTATTTATATGAGAAGAAAAGAATCAAATTGTACTTTTTTAGTATTTACTTGTTATAAAGGACATTGTGTTTCCTTGTCATTGTACAACAAGCTTATTTTAGTTATTGTAATTTAGAAAGACCAGTAGTTTTATGTTACCCTCGTACTTATGAATAATGTAATTAGTTCTACTGGAGGCATGAGAGCAGAACCAGACTGTAATTGTATAGTCCTGAATTAGAAGAACTCTAGATGATTACCCCTCCCATCCCACTTCTCCTCTTTGGAGATTTTGCTTTGTTCTTCTAGTAGTTATTTTATTTCCTTGCTTAAGGGTTGTCTGTTGAACAATTCTTGAATAAACTTTCTGTTATCAATTTTATCTTGTCCTATTAGTCGGATTTAAAAGCAAAAATAAAATAAAGTAGTCAAAACGCAAGTCTGTCTTCCAGAGGTTCCAGACAGATACATATGTATCTATATTCTCTTCTCCAGTGCTCAACCCCTCCGGTTATAATCCTATTTGTTTTACTTCGCAGGAGAAGCAGGTTATAAACCGTTGACACTTTCCTAGTGTACGATATTTAATTAAAAAGTTAATAGCTAGTCTCCAACCCCCCCCCCACCTCCCTTTGGAAGCCTGCTTTAAATTCTCTCACGCAGACTAAAGTTCACAGATCTCTTCTGCGGTTACCAAGAGAAGGGATCACGTGTCATCCAAACTAAGCAGCCATTGGGCCTAAAATGAAAACAAAGGAAAATGATTAATCACAAAAAGGCAAAGAGTTTTCATGCAGGAATTTTAAAACTGAGGTGAAATTAAATCACTATATTAAAAAAAATCCTTGATGAGGGGGGAGAGGTGCGGTGATAGGGTAAATTGGCAGTGACAACTTAAGAAGTGTAGCAGCAAAAAACAAATAAGATAACACTGTGGATAATTTGCTTTGTATGATCCAAAGCCATAAGAAAACTTATTTTATAAGTAATGTGGCTCAATAAAAGTTTTATGATGCTGGAACTGGATAGAAACTGTCTGTCAGACGTAGATTGGCACGTTTATATTGGTGGAGCAAATAAAGGAAGAGAAATAAGGGATAAGGTCCAGGAGGCTGAAATCTTGGCTACTTCTTGGGGGTGGGAATGAAAGGGCATTGAGTATTAACCTCATTGTCATCGGAAACAGCGATTTAAATCTGTTCATTAGGACTGTGTCTCCATATATACGCACATACATGCATGCATCTAATATACACCTGTGCATCTATATATCTATACACGAGATACACCACAAATACACATGCACACGGTTGAAGACCTCAAAAGAGAAATTATTTTTAGCTCTTTTTACCTTTGATTTCTTCTAATAAATGAAGTGCCAAGTTAGTAATTATAGCCCTTGTGCAATAATAAATAACAATAAAAAAGGGAATTTGTTTTCCTACCCCGGCCTGTAGCTGGGTTATGCTCATCCATGCAAGAAGCAATTTAACATTCGGTGATACTATAATTTAAAAGCATAAGAGCGTGGAAGCTTTGATTGGGATCAGATCAAATAAGAATAGTCAAGGGTTGGCTTTTCCCCCCTCTTCTCCTGAATATAATTTTCTGGATGATGTAGCTACGCTGACTGAGATCCTGGGCGCCATAGTGTTCGCTGTTGTATCCCTGAATTCTGTGAATTCATTTAAAAATAAGTGAAAGTGAAGCCAACATCAGAACCAGAGGGCCATGTCACGTTTCACCAGTCAGGTTGATATTTTGTCTCTTTTGTTCTTTCCTGTCCTTTTTCTGGGCCTTCCTGTGTTCTCGATGTTATTTCCCACTTGCTTGTAAGTAGGCTTGCTTTTCCCAAAGAGGAAAAAAAGAATTTGCAGTTGGTCTTTAACGTTCATTAAACCTGCAAGGTATTGTTCAGCTATTTTTAGGAAAAAAAGGATGCTTTTGCCCCACAAATAAGAAGGCAGCTTTCTATCTGGTCAATCCATATGAAATACGGGAAAGCATATTCCTTCCCCCAACAGGTTTCATGTCTGTAACTTTAGTGCTAGTGAGCAGAAATAGTTGACACAAGCTATAAGCAGTTTCCAAGCTATTTCAATATATTCTCTGCTACAGCAGTCTTTCTCCCAGGCTGTAGAGAATAATATTCTGGTTAAGGCTATCAGGAAGATTCAGATCAGGGATCTTTAAAGAGAAGGATCTCTTTAACATGTTTATGTTGATACCGATTCTGATCTGCCAGGGTTTTATGTATTAGTTTATTTATATATTACCTTTTCTTGATTGCTGCAGAGGTCAAATCCCAGAAAGGTTTTTTTGGGAAAAATAGTCTACCAAAACTGAGTGTCCCCACCCGGGCTGCATCCACGTCTTTTTGCTGAGGTTTTATTTTCCTCCCCTTTTTTGCTGAGCTGCACCTCGCTTTGGCTCCAGATTTATGTGCTTCCCTTGAAATACATACCACCCACACGGATGTTTTAAGTGACAAAAGTTTCTAGGCTCTCCTGCCTGCTTGAATGCAGTTTGCCAACCTTCCTTTGCTACAAGATGGGGGGAATGGAGCTAGAACAAACAGACTGAAAACCTTCCAACTTTTTAGAATTGCTTGGGATTATAGATTTTTTGTCTATTTTTTCCATCGTTCAACCTTTCATATTTCCCACTTCTTTTCTTCGTCCATAGGTTAAAGTTTTGGCATCATTATTTTCTTAGTAACCCCAATAAAAGCCAAAATTCCTTGGTAAACTTAGTGAGACTGACCTGTCAGAAGGCTTTCGAGCAAAAGATTGATCGTCTCTCTCTCTTTTAGGGAGGGGGGCAGGGGTCTGTGTGAAACTGCTCACTTTTTAAAAGAAAAAAAAATCTTACTGGTAAATAGCCTTTCATTTTACTTATTTATTTTGTAAACTATTAAAGTGGAGCTGATTACTGGAGGGGGGAGGGAAGGGGGGAACCGATTGCCAATATATCCATGACCTTAAAACAATTTTCCTCTTCAAGCAAAGTTTCAAGCCTTCATTCAGTCTCCGGTTAGGAAGGGAGGGCTCCGCTCTATGTTTTAAAAGTAATTTAACCAGCTCGGGGAGACTTTTCGACCGTTTCCAGCTTTACTTTCTGATTTCAAAGGATTTATAATGGGCTGCTTCTCCAGCCGCCAGAAAGAAACCTCTGGATCAAGCTTTCGTACTGACCTGAACTTTCCAAGACTTGGATATATTTTAAATCCCAACTGCAGGTTTTGTCAAGGTCCGGTACTCCAGATTGTCTCATTTATTGGGTTTACACTGAGAAGAGAGATTGCATCTGCCTTAACTGGGGAAGTTCTTTGCTAGTCTTGATTTAGCCCCCTTGTCAAAACTTTCAAAAGATTAATGAGCCCGCCTCTTAATTGCTCTTGTCTCCCCGATTGTGCTAATCAGCCCCTCTACGCTCAGGCAGGGAA